TTTAGATGGAGAATTACAAAAAAAAAATCTCAATTTTTTTTATTTTCCTCGTTTTAATTAACTTTTTTTTTTGGTTTAAAATTTTCCCCATTTAAAAAAAAAAAAATTAAAACAAACTTTATGGCCGCATGTTAGCTCCATACATTTACTAATCTGCTCAGCTGCTTCACTACAACACACTGGAGCATTACTGAATATTACTAAATATTACTGAATATTACTGAAGTACTGATCCAGCTCCTGATCGGTCCAATCATCGCTCACTCCCGACCCGCTCCACATTTCCATCTGGCAGGTCCAGTAAAACGAGCTGAGCTGCATCGAACAGTTTGTGATTTTTCTTGCTCGCGTTCGAACAGCGCAGAGAAAATGTGGAGGAACCAGTTTGTCATGACGAAGGGGTAAACGGATCGTTCGGTTGCCACGAGACGCCGCCGGCGACCATCTGTCGACCTCAATAAAAACAAGCGTGAGGTTAAATTTTCATASGGAACACACCGACGGGTGGAGTCGCACAGAAACACAAACAACCTGAACAGGTAACCGCTTCAGGTTTGTGCTGTAAGAGTCTTCGGCCGAGAGTTTCAATGTTCCTCACTTAACGTCGACGCAGATGTCAGAGCTGAGAAGTTTCACATCTGGCTGCAGATGTGGCTCTGGCTTTACAGGAGTGAGGAATTCCTCAGATAGAGAGGAGCCACGAGTTCATCTCTGAGATAAAGTCGAGCTTTCTAAAATTAAAAGCCTCAGTTTATCATCTGGAGCAGCAGCAAACTGTGTTTTACTTTTAATCTGGTTCAGATGTTGAAAAAAAAAACACGTTAATAAAAAAATTTGGTTTAGTTTGAAGGGAAAGAGCTCTTTTTTAATGTGTTTAAAACCCAGCTACTTACTATTAGGGACTAAATGTGTTTAATACAAGTTAATAAAACTTATATTTTAAAGTCTGGAGCTAAAATAAATTAACATTTGTCGTGGAACAGTGACAACTTTCAGGTTAATTTAAGAACAGAGTGCAGTCATGAGACGGCAGCTCTAGAGGAATCGTTGGATGAATCTGTTTTATTGATTGTTTCAGCAGAAAAATCAAACTCTTATGTGACTTAATGAAGTTATTTCTTCACTTTTAACTGTGTAAACAATTAAGGCATTAAATTAGCATTTAGACAAACACRCATCATTAGTCTTTAAGTAAGCTAGCTTATTAGCATTGATGTTATTGAAAGTTTTTAGTACTTATTTTAAATATAAAATATGTTAACATCTAGTTTAACACAACTCATTTAGCCATAATAACATTAGCTTGTTAGCATTTACATTAACTTTTATTTTATATCCATTCTAAAGAAATTAGTATTTAGCCAAACATGCATCATTTATGATTTAACTTTGGTAAACTTAACTAGCTTATTAGCATTATGTTGATAGCTGTCACTAACATTTTAAAACTAAAAAAAATAAACAACTAAGCATGCTAAGGTTAACTAGCTTGTTAGCTTTGTTACTGACAGTTATCACTGACTACTAGTTTTAATTTGAAAACATGCTAGTAGATAAACTCAAATAATTTAGGTTTAATTAACTTAGCTCATTAGCATTTGTTAGATTAACATGGTTTAGCTAGCTTGTTAGCACTTGTTGATAGTTATTACAAACGACTCGTTTTAAAATTTTAAATATGTTTATGTGTAGTTAAACACAAACCATTTGGCATTTAGGCTTAATAACCTAAGCTCTTTAGCATTTATATTATCAACTGTTATCATTTTATATCCATTCTAAAGATATTAGCATTTAGCCAAACATGCATCGTTTTTCATTTAACTTTGGTAAAATTTCCTAGCTTATTAGCGTTGATGTTGTTGACAGCTGTCRCTATTCATTTTAAAACTAAAAAAGGTTAACAATTAGGCATGCTAAGGTTAGCATTAAGGTTTAATTAACTTAGCTCTTTAGCATTTATGTTAGATTTAAAAGATATTAGCATTTAGACATGTTAAGCTTAGCTAGCTTGTTAGCATTGATATTTATCACTGACTATTCGTGATAAATAACAAAAATGTTAACATCTAGTAAACAAATCTTTTTATTTCAGTTATGTCTTAGTATTAAATGTAAAGTATGTTTTAAGAAGTACCGAGCTTAGTTTATTTTAAACACAATACATATATTATTATTATTATTATTATTATTATTATG